TTAATCCATACTACTCGATATATATACATTCTTGTTAATCCATACTACTCGATATATATACATTCTGGTTAATCCATACTACTCGATATATATACATTCTGGTTAATCCATACTACTTGATATAATTGAGAATAGGCTTTCTCTCTAAGCAAAGGAGGTAAAGAGAATGAGTTCCGAGTCATCTGTAGTACTACTAATAAACATTTTGTCTATTAGTCTAACTGGAGTAATCTAGGCCACATACAATTTAAAAATATATAAAAAGAAGAAATTAGTAATTATGAAAACAAAGATATCTAGAAATCTCAGAGTCAAAGTAAGAGCAATTTTCAAAGTTTTAAGTAAGCGATCTTCACTAACAAAGCACAGAAAGAAAAACCATTTAGTTACACAGAATACCTCAAAATTTGTAATATTTGAGAAAAATACAAGAGGATAGTGGTCAGTTTTAAAGTGATGCATGTAAATGAGACAAAGAACGTTTTACCCAGTAAAGTGGTCAGGAATTAGCAGCACTACAACGAGAGAGATGAACAGCTGCTTGGGATGTGAGACTGGGTACCGGGAAGGGAACCACACAGTGGGATCTAAAGTCGGAGTGAACACGTAGCACATGCAAAGTCATTATCAGAAAGAAAAAGAGACGAAACCTGCTTGAAGAACAATAGTTTCTTATACGAGGTTCTTGAGAATGATCAAGAAACTTACGTGTTACCACTCAGTCTTATTATACAAGATGAGCATAAAGGCTGCAAACAATTAGAATCTACCAATAACCTCAGTGTTTCCAAAAACTTACTGAAACTCACGGAATAGAAGATAGACATCAATTACCAGGCAGGGAGAAAATCTGGTTAATGTGTTACATGATTCAGCAGTTTCTTCCTTCTGTCCATTGAATTCCAGGCTGAAACTCCACATTGTGAGCCCATTTCTCTTAACCCCAAAACAGAGCCTTCACACTTTAGATGGATACCTGACACGCAGTCCTAGTTTACACTTTTTGCTTGCCCGTGTCTTTGCTTTACTATCCATATGGCATGACAGAAAGTCAGAAGTAATCACACCGGGTCCTCATTCTAAAATGTGCTATCTCACAAAATTTCGAAAAAAGTAAAACATATCTGGGACTTCATTCCTAGAGTAAGTTACTTAAGTACCAAAGAGACATTGTTTTTAAAAAAGTGAACATTTGTTAAATGTGACGGGTGGGATATAAGAATGTTTGTTCCATTATTTTCACTACATTCCTATTTGTATTTATATTTACTCAACATGTATTCCTATCTATCAGGTAGTCTAGATATAGAACCTTTGAGGGGCAAGGTTCCAATATTCAGAGTAACCCATACACAAAAATCTTAAGAGATTAATTTTTTCCTAGGAAAAAAACTAAGAAAACATTAGGAAATAATGTGATTTCATTAAATTTAATTTTCCTTTAAAGGATACATTGACTTTGAGGAGTTCTGAATTTTAGAAAACTTACCATACCCACTTCTTTCAAAGCTGAGGTCATAGAAATAACAGATGTCATCTGCTGCTTTGATGGAGAGCCACCTGATTCACGCTGTCCCAAAGGCGGAGACATATCAGAATTCTTTACTCCTTTAGCCACCAACTAGAATAAAAATTTTAATTATATGGGAAAGTTTGCATTTGCATAAAGAAATAAAATGGCATATATAAGATCACGGGTTGTATCCACTCAGTCCACATGTAATTCTTTCTTCAATTATTTATTTAGCAAGGCACTGTGCTAGGTGCTAGGGACAGAGTAGTGAATAAAGAGAAATACCCTTGGCCTCAGATGCAAACACAATCATGTGTCATGTAGTCCTAAGTCACTCCCTTCCCTTGCACTATCAATATTTCATGAAATGATCCTGAGAAACAATTGTTTGTCTTCTAAAAAATTCAGCATTAGTCCTCTCACTTTAATTTTAATCCATTACAACATTCAATATGAAGAAAAAGTAGTTTATTAATCTTACACCTCAAAAAGAAATTCTTCTGGAGTTTCTGCAGGCCTTGGCCTAATCTCCTTAAAGTTTGAACATCAATCTCCCAACATAAGAGCCCTCATTATAAAAATGTTGACATAAATGAGAATAAAAGGAGTGACAGGTACAGGGAATAGAAAAATTTACTTCACTAAAAATATCATGTAGTATCTTCATGGAGCCCTGGTGGCACTGTGGTTGAGAGCTATGGCTGCTAAATCAGAAGGTTGGCAGTTCAAATCCACCAGCCGTTCCTTGGAAACCCTATGGGGTAATTCTACTCTGTCCTATAGGGTCGCTATGAGTCAGGATCCACTTGACGGCAATGGGTAAGGTAAGGTATTATTTTCATACGTGTTTGTTTTTATCTTGCCATTTGGACTCTAAACAATATGAAGATTCTGAACCTTCAAGGAACTGGCATTTATAATTATGTTAACAGTTAACATATCAGGAATTTCATTCCCTACTTCTACCTCTTCCACAAATAAGTAAACAAGAATTTCTGGTGAGTATACATTTCATATGCAGTATTTCTTAAGCATCTTCTAAGAAATAAAGTACTAAACACAGCTGTAATATTTACTCTTCCCGGGTTTCATTTTACACATATATCTATTTCCTACAAAAGAAGATGAAAACTTTGCTTTAACTCCATAGCTCAGCATTTTTTAAAAGATATGCTGATGTTTAACATGTGACTACAAGTAACTTTCTAAATATCTATAGCTTACACGCCAAGTATTATCACCTTCGAAGATCATACGGAAACATTTTGAAACTCTTCTATGATGGTTTTACTACCATAGAGTACATCCAAATGGAAGCATCATAGATTCTGAGGAGATAAAAGTGAGCTCCAAATTTGTTCTGAATAGCAGTATATTTAGAACAAAGTATAGTATTTACCTAGATGATTACTTTGAAGGAACAAAACTAATTTGGATGTACACTTTCTGCTATTTTTATTTAAATCAGTCATTACTTCTCTGCTATGTGAATACCATATTTATCAATCGTACTATACTAATTCACTTAGAGAAATTATTTCTATTTTAATAAATAAATCTGACACGATTTTGTGAGTAAACAAATACACAATATCTGATCAAAATTAATTCATTAACTTATTTAAAGATGTATTAAGTACCTAATAAGTGCCATGCACAGTGCTAGATAATGGATAACCAAAATGAATAAGACACAATGCCTTCCCTCAAAGGATTATAAACCGAGAAGGAAAGGGAGATGTGTAAATCAATCACGATGTTACAGAGAAATAAAGCAAAGAGATGTGTGCTAAACGGTTTGGGGAAACAAAACAAAAACCAGAGAAAGTGCAGTGAAGCCAGGAGGAGGAAGGTCAAAGCAGGCTTCATAGAGCAGCCCATGTTGGATGAGCCATTCACTCTGTTCAAGGAGGTCACAAAACAGCTGAAGGAGGACAGCTCGACACTCGAATCCCAAAGCTCTCACACGCTAATCCTGTGGTTTTCCATCAAGTGTTGTGTCTTCTCTGAACTGCAACATTTTCTCCCTCTAAAATGGGAATGCTGTACCCAGCATCTCCTTGCTATAGAGATTAAACGAGACAATTTACGTAAAGTGCATAGCTGTGTGCCTAATAAATGGTGGCAATTATTATAGATCAGCAAACATTTATTTAGTTTCTATGATAAATAAGGCTAACTTTGCTTAAATACCAAAGGTCTGGTTTAAGTCCCTGACAAAACCAAAACGAAGTAACTTGTCCAAAGCCAAGTGTTTGATCTCTAGAATGCGTACAAAACCAATGGTCTCCCATCTGTGCTTGATCAGAGTTTAAACTTTAGCATTGTATAAGGAGGTTTTAGGACAAGAAGTAGAAACTTTAAAGACAAGAACTTTACATCATATATTCAAAGAAAACTAAGATTTAAAGAAAACATAATCAAGAGTAATTAAATTCTGTAAATAACTAAATAGGAAAGATCATACGGATTTAACTACCTTTGCTAAAATAAGCACAGCATCAACTTCACTTCTCAACCCACAATACAATTTACATTTATGCTTATAAAGATTATCTCAAATGTCATTTCCAAATGATTATGCAAGTGCCTATAGTAGGAACATTAAAGATATACATAATAAAAGAAAAAAAATCACATATACATCCACTGCTCCAACTAATCATACTTCATTTATTTATACTCCTTTTTTGATTCTATCTTAACCATATGTATACATAGTTCTTACCCAACTTAAAAAGGCATTGCCACAAATATCTGAAATTGTAGGCATATGGCCTAAGAAAGGAGCCCTGGTGGCACAGCAATTGAACCCTCCTAATGACATATCTGGAGCCCTGGTGGTGCAGTGGTTAAGAATTCAAGCTGCTAACCAAAACGTCAGCAGTTCAAATCCACCAGCAGCTCCTTGGAAACCCTATGGGGCTGTTCTAATCTGTCCTATAGGGTCGCTATGAGTCAGAATCGACTGGATGGCAATGGGTTTTGGGGGCCTAAGAAAAATTTAAAAGCCTCTGGGGAATATTTGAATGAGCCCTGGTGGCACAATGGTTAAGCACTCGGTTGCCAACCGAAATGCTGGAAGTTCAAACCCACTAGCTACTCTGTAGGAGAAAAGACCTGGTGATTTGTTCCCATAAAGATTACAGCCTAAGTGGGGCCAAAATGGCGTAGTAGTGAGACACTTCCGGTGATCCCTCTTACAACAAAGATCCCAAAAAACAAGTGAATTGATTATATCCGACAATCTAAGAGCCCTGAACATCAAAGGCAAAGTTGAGGAATTGGACTGAGTGGCAGGGGGAGGGAGAGACGGTTCAGAAGCAGGGAGGAGTTGCCAGACCTGATCCAGCAGGAGCCGGCACCCTGCAGGCCGGAAAGGCTGGTGTGCACGGTGAGGCAAGCAGTGGTGTTTGGGACAGGTTTTCCACATTGGGAGAGACCGAGCAGCGGAGTCTGCTCAGACCTCCAGAGACAGTGAAAAGCAGCACTCAGTTGGCAAAAGATAAGTATATGTGTTTAACCTACCACGTGGATCAAAAAACACACCCTAGGAGAAGAACCTCTCTCTAATTTACCTGCTCCCTCCCTGCTCTGCACAGGGTCGCAGGCTGGCTTCTGTGATTGCCAAGTCCCCTGGGCCAGAAGTTGGACCCATCAGGAGCCCTGAGCCATTCTCCCAGCCTTATAGAGGGAACAAATTAACAAACAGGAAAAAATAATCTGTCAGTTTCCCTAAGCTGGGAACTCAGGGCAGGCAATGCTTCTTTGCCTAGGCACAGGTATAAGGGGTCCACAGACTTTGAATGCCCTTCCACACTGCATAGACCTGTGTGGGCCCATTTTAACAGTGTAGGCCTTCATTAGCACAGTACGACAGGATATATATCTGAAGCCTAACTTCACTGTATCAGCTATATGGTGGAGTAACAGGTTCATAACATTTGACACTGCTTTGCCCATTAAGCAGCATCCTCACCTACCCACATCAGGGGCCTGAGGACTGGTGGCTCCAACCATGCCACGTAGCCCCCTGCAACAAGGTCCCAAGAATAACTGGTGCCTCCCAGTCCTTACAGCCAACAGCAATGGGTGCCCAGAGTCCAGCTGCAAAACCCACCAACCTACGCACTCTAGGGAACAGGAACATGCTTTCCTCCAGACACTCAGGGGCAGCCATCAGCACCGTGCCTCACTTAGCACGTGAACCCGCTACTGCAGCCAGATACCTGTGCCTACTCAAATCACTTCTGCCCGTCTAGGACTGTAGGTGAGAGCCTGCACCACACACTTGGTTACCAACTATCTTGACACCTGAGCTGAATCCATACAGAAAAGTAAAAGGTCTCCTGGGCTCACATACCTAGTAACAGATCTAACCACCTGGTGACAGGACATTAGACCTTCAAAGGCGCCAATAATCAAACTAGCTCACGAGAGAAGCCTATTTGGGCATATCAAAACAAAACAAGAAGCTAGGACACAGTAAGCAAACATAAAATAAGTAAATATGATAACTTATTGATGGCTCAGAGACAACAGTCAATATCAAATCACATAAAGAGGCAGACCATGATGGCTTCAGCAAGCTCCCAAAACAAAGAATCAAGAAATTTTCCGGAGGGAGAGAACTTCTTGGAATTACTGGAGGTAGAATATAAAAGATTAACATGGAAACTCTTCAAGATATCAGGAAGGAGATAAGGCAAAATGCAGACAAAGCCAATGGACACACACACAAAGCAATAGAGGAACTTAACAAGGTTATACAAGAGCATAATGACAAATTTAACAGGCTGCAAGAATCCACAGAGACACAGCAAACAAAAATCCAGAAGAGTAACAATAAAATTTTAGAATTAGACAACTCAACAGAAAGTCACAGGAGCAGAATTGAGGCAATGAAGTCAGAATTAGGGAGATGGAAGATAAAGCACTTGATACCAAATTATTTGAGGAAAAAAACAGATAAAAGGATTTTAAAAAATGAAGAAACTCTAAGAATTATGTGGAACTCTATCAAGAGGAATAACCTCACAAGTAACTGGAGTACCAGAACAGGGCGGGGGCGTGGGGGTGGGGGATAAGAGAAAATACAAAGAGAATTG